TTTTGTTGTTGAGGCTGGAATGTTTTTGTTTGTTGGTTTTGGGTTTTTTTTTTTTTTTAAAGATGACCGGTAAGGGGATCTTAACCCTTGACTTGTTGTTGTCAGCACCACGCTCTCCAAGTGAGCCAACCGGCCATCCCTATATAGGGATCCGAACTTGTGGCCTTGATGTTATCAGCACCACACTCTCCCAAGTGAGCCATGGGCCGGCCCTTGAGGCTGGAATGTTTTTAATTTAACTTCTCTGAGCTTTCATTTGCTTTTAGCATGAAATGTCATTATAAGATTCTGTATTTTCTTTAAAGTCTTATTTATTCTGGTTGTCACTGCCAATTCTGAGTTGTCTTTTAACACCCACACTGTCATTCTAGTTTGCGAATGTGTTTCTCCCCTGGGCCCTTGCTACCAGTGAGCAGCATTTTGCTATTGATGCCATTTCTAATATAATTTTTGTTTTTTCTTATTTTTAAAATTTAACTATAACTCCCATAAGGGCCTGTGATAAGTAAAGTTCTGTGTTTTCGTTGCTTCCAATATTAGTGTGCAGATTCTTTTCAGAATATTTCTTTTTTTTTTTTTTTTTGCATCTGATTATGAAACTAAGTATTTAGCTATTTTGTTTTTGTCTTTGGTTGTTATTATAAAATAATATAGTAATATTTATACCAGAAATTGTTTTTATGTGTATAATCTTTTTCTTCATTTGTATCTCTGGTAGGTATGGGAATGTAATGTTGCTTTTTCTTTATATGTTCTATTTTTATGTTATATTTGTATGTTTTGACCAAATCCTTGGTTATCAGCACCATACTAACTGAGCAAACCTGCCAGCTCTTATGTGCTTTTTTCTAAGACTTCTTTTTAATTAAGGTTTTTATTTTTAGAAAATTGTAGACTCACATACATGCAGTTGTAAGAAACAATACAGAGATATTCTGTGTGCCCTTCACCCAGTTTTCCCATGATAACATCTTGCAAAACTATCATACGTTATCACAACCAGGGTATTAACATTGATGCAGTCAAGCTATAGAATGTTTCCATCAATACAAGGATCCCTCATGTTGCTCTTTTATAGCCACACCTACTTCCCTCCCATCTCCACCTTTTCTATCTCTGGTGACCACTAATCTTCTCTCCATTTCTATAATTTTGTCATTTCAAGAATATAATATATGGGCTGACCCCATGGCTCACTCGGGAGAATGCGGCGCTAGGAGCGCAGTGGCGCTGGGAGCTCCGAGGCTGTGGGTTCGGATCCTATATAGGGATGGCTGGTGTGCTCACTGACTGAGCACGGTGCGGGTGATGCCAAGCCAAGGGTTGCAATCCCCTTACCGGTCACACACACACACACACACACACACACAAACAAAAAGAATATAATATAAGTGGAATCATATAATGTGTAACCTGTAGGGATTGGCTTTTCTCACTCAACATAATTCTCTAGAAATTATCCCAGGTTTTTGCATGTATTGTTCCTTTTTATGGCTGAGTAATATTCCATGGTGTGGATATACCACATTTTGTTTAATCATTCATCCAATGTAGGGCTTCTGGGTTGCTTCCAGTTACTGGCTGTTATGAATAAATCTGCTATAAAAGTGTACAGGTTTTGCATGAACATAAATCTTCATTTCTCTGGATAAATGCCCAGTAGAATAATTGCTGGGTTTTATGGATGCATATATGAAATTGTTGTCCAGAGGAGCTGTACCATTTTAAATTCCCACCAGCTAATGTATGAGCAATCCAGTTTTTCTACATCCTCTCCAACGTGTGGTGTTGTCACTATTTTTTATTTTGGCCATTCTGACAGGTGTGTGGTGCTGATTGTGATTTTAATTTGCATTTCCCCAATGAGTAGTGATTCATGTGCTTATTTGCCATCCTTATGTCCTCTTTGGTGAAATGACATTTCTCTGTTTTTATATATTTCAAAATTCTCCACAATAAAATGTTAAAAAATGAATCTTTTTAGTCCTTTTATGTTTATTCCTGGTTTTTAGTTTCTTTTCCTACATCAGCTGCTCTGTTTTTATCACCAGTATGTGCTGGTTCTATGTCTGTAACTTAAAACATTAGAAGTAATTTCTACTTGTTGGAATCCCTCCTCCCCCCTTTTGCCATGTGAAATCGGTTACAGTTTGCTTATTATTTTATTTTATTTTATTTTAATTTTTTAGAAGATGACCGGTAAGGGGATCTTAACCCTTGACTTGGTGTTATCAGCACCACACTCTCCTGAGTGAGCCACGGGCCGGCCTGGTTTGCTTATTTTTATAAAGAAAAGTTCTTGGCTGGCTCGTTACTCAGTTGGTTAGAGCACAGTGTTATAAAGAAAAGTTCTGGAATTTTTATGGTCAATAAAAAGAAAAAAAACGTGTTTCTGGTCCAGTACTAAATATGTCATTCTGTGTAGTAGCACTTGAGTCTTTATAATGCCATCTCAATGTTGTTTGCTATCAAGATACTAATATATTTAACATTTTCCCCCAATTTTAATATGATAGTTTTCCCTGTTCTCTTCTAAATTCATTTCTTGGTTTATTCAACATATTTAGGCACTGGGAATAAAATAGTCCCTCTCCAAATAAAAAAAGAAATCTAGTGCTCTCTTACGCTCATATACTAAAATTGGAATGATACTGAGGAGATTAGCATGGTCCCTGCACAAGATGAATACAAATTCCTGAAGCATTCCATATATTTTTTTAAATCTATCCATCAAAGGGCTGGCCGGTTAGCTTAGTTGATTAGAGCACGGTGTTATAAACCAAGGTCAAGGGTTCGGATCCCCATACCAACCAGCCATCCCCCACCTCAAAAAAAAATCTGTCCATCAGGTCTCCACTGTGTAGAGCTGTCAGTGGGGCCAACACTCCACACGGAGGGACGACCTGTGGAGAGGCCCTGGAGTTGGAGAGAACCTGAATCACAGGGAGACCTGCTGAAAGGCCCTTGGGGGTGGGACAGGGACTCCAGCATGCAGCTTGTGGCTTGTCTTCTCATTCACTTGAAGGTGTGACTGTTTTTATTATGAAATAATTGTTATCTGCCATACCTTGTTTTTTCCTTTTGCAATATAGGATATACATTTTCATCCAGTCTTGTTTTTCTTTTATATATACCTCTGTCTGTGTTTTATGCTGCTATAACAGAATACCTGAGACTGGGTACTTTATAAAGAATACAAATTTCTTTCTCACAGTTGTGGAGGCTGGGAAGTCCAAGATCAATGTGCCAGTAGATTTGGTTGTGTGGTGAGGGCTGCATCCCCAGAGGGAAGGACTGCTATGTCCTCACAAGGTGAAAGGCAGAAAGGCAAGAGAGGACAAACTCCCTTCATCAAGTCCTTTTCTAAGGGTACCTAATTCCATTCACGAGGGTGGAGTTCTTATGGCCTAATCACCTCCAAAAGGCCCCACCTCTTAATACTATCACATTGGCAACCCCTGAATTTTGGAGAGGACACATTCAAACCATAGCAACCTCCTTTGTTTTGAGTTTCAAGTGTACAACATACATTTAGCTTGGCCTTTTAAAAATCCACTTTCCCAATCCCTTTTGATTGGTTGTCAAATTAAATGTTTTTGTAACAAGTTTTCTTTCTAAGTTCATTTTTGCTTCCTCTTTTTACTACATTGACTCTTTTCTGGTTCCTTTTAACAATCAGATATATGCCATTTCAAAACACAAATGATGTGCTGTTTAACTTAACAGTTCTAATCACACTTTTTTTTCCATGTCTCCCATCTTTTTACTAATTTAGCTCAAACAAGTTTAATGGACACATATGTTCAGGCACCCTCTGTGGGTTACAAACTCAGGATGCGAGTAGGGACAAAACAGGCACATGTAGATGTCAGACTTTATAATTCAAACAGAACCATATGGAATTTGCTTTATTTTTACCCTTTTTCTTCTTATCACCTACATTTGTACAATAATGAATAGTAACTAACATTTTAGAATTTTTTGATACCATTATAATGGCATATGCATTTTCTTATTTCAGCCACACAAATTCTTGACACTTCCTCTGTAATTACACTGATGTTAATAAATTTTTACTTTCCTATTCCAATGTTGAGAAATGAGGTATTCTCTACAACTAGCAAACTTCCTTAATCACAAAATGCGATATATGTTGGACAGGCATTTCCCTGGTCACTGAAGTTTTCCCTTGGATGTGAAACCTTCTTAGGGTCTGGATTCCGCTGGAGGTAAATGTGTAGTGACTCCTGGCCTAGCCAGGCACTGCAGCACTGGAGGAAGTCTGTGTGCCAGTATTAGTGAATAGCTTGATGTGTAGTTCTCAGAACTTTAAGTCTCATGAAATTCCAAAACAGATCTGGAGGGTTGCCAACTTTTTTTGACTTGTTACAGACATTGGGGAAAATGATCAACTACTGTTACCACAATTTCTTGTAAGGAAGACAGTAGAATGCACACGATCTCAGATTACAGGTTTTTCCCTAGCAAGGAACTGTAACCACCTGACACAGACACACACATATACTTGCTGTATCTTATCCCCTTTTCTCTCATTTTCCTGAGGACCAGCAACAGGTTCCTCATAGAGCAGATACCATCCATAGGCTGGTGGATGGGAAGCTCTACTGCCTTCTGTGTTCCAGGATGGACCTTACAAGGCCCAGTGCTGTTCCTCCCATTTTAGACTTGTCCTGGACTCGTCACATTTATTCCCAGTTAGCTTCCTTCCCTGAAGGTCAGTGCAAGCCTTCAGGCCACTCTTCAGATCAGCCAGCTGGTGTCCGTGCTCAAATAATTCACACCAGTAGTAGCCCAGATAGCACACAATTTAGAAAAGTCAGTCTCTTGGTCACCTAGCATAGTAGTTTATTGTAAAGGTACATAAATAACTTTGGGAGTCCACCTGCTACTGCTCTCTTTTATTAGAATGGCTTGTAATTTGGCTGTCTCTCTTCACTCCATCCTATTGAACAATCCTGACTGTACCCTTTCACTTTCAGCGGTCCTGCGAGTGGCTGGTTCCCTGCAGAAGAGCACAGAAGTGATGAAGGCCATGCAAAGTCTTGTGAAGATCCCAGAAATCCAGGCCACCATGCGGGAGCTGTCCAAAGAGATGATGAAGGTCACCCGGGCCAGCCCTGCTTCCCTCTTCCAAACCACTGAGAGTCACTCTCAGCAAGTGGCAGGGTGCTAGGGATAGTGGTGGCTGGGAATGGACAGACTGCAGCTACGAGACAGAAGGGATTTTGAGGACAAAAGAGCAGCTGTTAACACTCGTTGAAACTGTTTGAGCCGAGCATGACAGAGGTTGGGTCAGATTATCAGAGTGTTCCTTGGAAGAAGCAAAAGTCTACACAGAGTTCTAGGGAGAGTGGGGGATCTAGGGAGCAACCATTTAGGGTTCAAGGAGATAGTTTTTTTTTTTTTTTTTTTTAAAAGATGACTGGGAAGGGGATCTTAATCCTTGACTTGGTGTTGTCAGCACCATGCTCAGCCAGTGAGCGAACCGGCCATCCCTATGTGGGATCCGAACCCGTGGCCTTGGTGTTATCAGCACCGCACTCTACCGAGTGAGCCACGGGCCGGCCCAGGAGATAGAGTTTGAAGGCTCCAACATGAGCAAGGACGTGGAAAGAAACTCTGGTTCCACTGTCTGCTCCAGAGAAATGTTAGTGAAGCCAGTAAGGAAGGTTGTTCTAGACCAGGGACTGGCAAACTTTTTCTGTAAAATAGTTGATAATATATTTTATGCTTTGTGGACCACACACCTCTGTTGTAACTACTCCATTCTGCTCATAGCATAAAAGCAGCCATAGATAATACATAAACAAATGAGTGTGACTATGTTCCAATTAAACTTTATTTACAAAAATAGGCATCAGACCAAATTTAGCCTTGCAGCCTGTAGTTTGCCCATCCCTGTTTTAAACTAAAGAAGAAGAGACTGAGAACCAAATAGAAAGTACTTAAATACCAGCCCCTTTCTACCATTTCTGCCCAGAGATGTCAGCAACCCCCTTTTTCCCTTTTTATCTTTTTTTCGTGACTGGTAATGGGATCGCAACCCTCAGTGTCGCGCCCATACTGCGACCGGCAACGGGATCGCAACCCTCGGTGTCGCACCCGCACCGCGCTCAACCAGTCAGCGGACCGGTCTCTATATGGGATCTGAACCCTCGGTGGGAGCGCTGCCGCACTCTACTGAGTGCGCCACCGGGCCGGCCCAGCAACCCCCTTTTTGATATTGGAGGTGCTATTCTGACCTTTTGCATCAGTAACAAAGACCACATAGTAGGTCCTTATCTGGGAGTTGAGAACACTGCTGAGCAGGAAGACTGTTGGGCCTGGTTGTGTTGGGCCAGTGTCAGAGATCCACCAGACTAGCTATGACCGCAGCTATAATCTGGACATGCTGGAGCACTCTCCCAGGCCTTTTCTGGATTCCCACTGTGCCCTTGCCATTTGTTATCACAGTGTTTACATGGCTCCAACCAGTTTTTATACCGTGTTTCAACCCCTGCATTCACACATTATATTTACAATGTTAGAGCAGATGTTTCCCAAAATAACTCGGCATACGCTCATCTGTCAGCAAGTCATTCCCCAAGTGCTGCCATTATAGTGTGGGTCACTATCAGAGGCTCTGCTGATTGCCAGTAGTGGCCCTCCCAACCTTAGTGCTGAATTTGGAAAGCCAATTCCCTTTGGCTCTTGGCCTTCCTGCAGAGAAGACAGTATTCAGTTTCCCTTTGGCCAACTGTCTTCTGTGTCAGCCCTTAAGAGAGTGGACTGGACTTGGAGAGACTAGTGCTCCGTCTAGATGGTGTCTAGGGGTGTCTGATGGAAACAGATTTAACAGTTGAGGGACGTGACATGTTTATTCTGTGTTTAGGCTGGGATCATAGAAGAGATGTTAGAGGACACTTTTGAAAGTATGGACGATCAGGAAGAAATGGAAGAAGAAGCAGAAATGGAAATTGACAAAATTCTGTTTGAAATCACAGCAGGTATGACCTTGAGATTCATCTTCTTTCTCTCCTTTTATGGCCATTCTTCCTGCATTCACTAAATTAGCTAGTAGCTTTTTCTTTAGGCTATAATTCCCTTCTACATTTTTTAATTTTATTTTTTAAATTTTGGGCAACAAGTCTTAATACATTTAAAAAGACTAAGATCTAGAAAATATGTTCTCTGACCACAATAACAAGGAAATTTAGAAAATTCACAAATGTGTGGACATTAAATGACACTCTTCTAAATAAACAAAGGGTAAAAAAAACTCAGGGAAATTAGAGAGTACTTTGAGATAAAAATCAAAGTGCAACATACCAAAGTTTTATAGGATGCCAGGCTCATGCAGTGCTTAGAGGAAAATTTATACTTGTAAACACCTATATCAAAAATAAGAAAATTCTCAAATCAGTAATGCAAACTTCTACCTTAAGAAAATAGAAAAAGACGAGCAAACTAAACCAAAGCAAATATAAGTAGGAAATAACAATGATTACAACAGAAATATATGAAATAGGAAATTAAAAAACAATAGAGAAAATCAACAAAACCAAAATTTGATTCTTTAAAAAGATCAACAAAATTTGCAAACCTTTAGCTAGACTGACCAAGACAAAAAAAAGACTTAAATTACTAAAATGAGAAATAAAGCAGGGGTATTACATTGTCATTATGTTTTTTTGTGGTGGTAAGATTTAATGTCTTTCTCTTGTATGCATTTTTGTTCTACCAGTGAGTTTTGTTCTTTCTTGTGTAGTCGTGGTAGTGATTATTGTTTTTTGGATTCCAGATGGAAAACTTCCTTGAGGAATTCTTGTAAGGCTGGTTTTATGGTGGTAAACTCCCACTGTTTTTGTCTGTCTGGAAAATATACTTTTTTCCCTTATTTCTGAAGGATAGCCTGCTGGGAATAGTATTCTTGGCTGGCAATTTTTTTCTTTTAGTATTTTGAATATATCATCCCATTTTCTTCTGGCCTGTAGAGTTTCTGTGAAAAGTGTGCTGTTAGTCTGATAGGGGCTCCCTTATAGGTGTCTTGACATTTTTCTCTTGCTGCTTTTAAGATTCTGTCTTTGTCTTTGAGCTTTACCAGTTTGAGTATAATGTGTCTCAGAGAGTCTTTGAGTTGAATCTTTTTGGTTGAATCTGTTTGGGGATCTTTGAGCCTCCTGGATTTGAAGGTCCATGTCTCTCTCTTTATATCTGGGAAGTTTTCTATTGTTATTTCATTGAATAGGTTTGTCATGCCTTTTCCTTTCTCCTCCCCTTCTGGAATATTCATCATTTCAATGTTTGTACACTTAAGGTTGTCTGCTAGCTCTCTTAGATTCTCTTCATTTTTTAAAATTCTTTTTTCCTTTTTTTTTTTTCTTTTTGTCTGCTGGGTTACTTCAAAGAACCTTCAAGGTCAGAAATTCTTTCTTCTGCTTGTTTTAGTCTGCTCTTTAAACTATCAGTTGTTTTTTTTATTTCACTGAGTGAATCTTTCAGTTCTATGAGTTCTGCTACATTCTTTTTTAAGGTATTCATCTCCGTAAATTTCCTCCATCATATCCTGGATTTTTTTTTTTTTTCTTTCTTTTCATTATGTTGTCTGAGTCTTCTCATATCTCAGTGAGTTTCCTTAAGATTGTTGCTTGGAATTCCTTTTCATTCATCGCATGGGTTTCCTGCTCAATAGAGTCTGGTATTTGAAAATGACCATATTCTTTTGGTGGTATCATGTTTTCTTGGATTTTCATATTCTAGTATCTCTATGTTGATGTCTGGCCATCTGGTAGAGAAGTTGCTTCTTCTATTATCTGGAGTGGACTTTGAGGAGAGAGACATCCTCTTCTTTTTCCGGTCTCCACTGGTGACTCTCCTTGTGTCAGTGTAGTCGAGTGTCTGGAAGGCCACCTGCACAGTGGCTGTGGCTACTGCTGTGGCATCAAGTCACTTTTGCGGCAGTCATGGCTGTCGCGGTGGCTGTGGTGGGCTACCCATACAGAAGTGGTGTGTTCAGCGTGCTCTCTTGCCTGCTTCCAGGCTGGAGGAGCTGCCCTCGGCTCCTGCCTAGGACCCTGGGCATTATTATCTTGCCTGCTTCTGGGTGGAGGGGCCATTTTTAAATTTTAGAATATGCAAGTTATTTCTTGAAAAGTAACACCAATATCTATAAAGAATTTTTTTTTTCCCTTTTTTGTCTTTTTTTTTCGTGACCGGTAATGGGATCGCAACCCTCGGTGTCACGCCCACACCGCGCTCAACCAGCGAGTGGACCGGTCTCTATATGGGATCTGAACCCTTGGCGGGAGTGCCGCCGCACTCCCAAGCGCCACACTCTACCGAGTGCGCCACTGGGCAGGCCCCTATAAAGAATTTTTAAGCTTCTAGCATTTTCATAATGGTAAGGAGCAATATTGCTCTCATATATTACTGCTGAGAATTTAAATTGGTGTAGACTTTCTTGAAAGCAATTTGGCAATAGCTATCAAAAGCCCTTGGCCTAACTCTGGGAGTTTACTGAAATAATTAAGGGTGTGCTGAAAGATATAACTCAAGGATGTCTGTAGTAGCATTATTTATATTAAAAAGTATGAAACAAGCTGAAAGCCTAATAATATTGGTTGAATCAGTTGTGTGATGTCTATTTTAATGGAATACTACTTATAGTTGTGATAAGTGATGTAGAATATATTCATGACATGGAAAGATGTTCATAAAATATTATGTGAAAAAAGCCTTGTTACTGAAATACACACTTCTGTGTGAAAAACATGTTTATAGAAGCCTGGAAGGGGGTAAATAAAAATAGTTATCTGAGTGATGGTTAATTAGTTTTTAAGCTTTATTTTTACTTCTGGATTTTCTAAGTGTATATTTAATAAAAATAATTGGGACTTAATTTTTATTTGTTCGTTTAAGTTTCTGGGGAAAGAAGCACAGTTACTTCAAGAAAACATTTTGTGAAGATGTAGAAACAATTTATAAAGTTTTCAGCAGTGTTTAGGAATTTAGGTTAGGAGCCTCAGAACCCAGATTCGTAAAAATCTTTATAATGACAACTGTGGTATCGTTACAAGTTGCTGTTGGCACCTCTGTCACAGTGAGCAAAGCCCCACCAGAACAGCGTGTTTCACCATCTGTCAGAGTGATCCAGGAATGAAAGCCAGGGAAGACTGAGCGACCACTTCCTTAAGCTAATGTGTTGTTAATCTGTTTGCTGTCTTGCTTTTCAGGGGCCTTGGGTAAAGCACCCAGTAAAGTAACCGACGCCCTTCCAGAGCCTGAACCTCCAGGAGCAATGGCCGCCTCAGAGGATGAGGAGGAGGAAGAGGCCCTAGAGGCCATGCAGTCCCGGCTGGCCACACTGCGCAGCTAGGGGCCACTCAGCTGGGCCCGCAGGCTCTCCTCACGGCCCTCCTGCTGGTGGACGCACACTCCTCTGGAGAGCCGCCATTCTATGTCTCTCTTGCACTACTACAGCTCTGTCCTGAGGCACTGCGTTTTGGAGAAGGTTCTCTGCTATTGTCTCTTCACTCTCTGCAGAGGTTTTGGGATCTTGAAGGAATTGTTCTTATGAAGGTGGCGTAATTAAATGCATCATTTTCAGGAGTAAAAAACAGAAGTATCTTTTTGGGGGGGAGGGCAAAGAAATCCATCTTCTCATGAAGCTCTTCTGATAATAGAGTTGACTGCCTGAATGTTAAGGACTCTACGTTTTTTTGGTTGTAAAACACTATATAAATGGATTTTAATAAATTTCTGCTTTAACATTTGGTTCTATTGTAGATTGTCATGTGCAATGAACTTCTGAGGTGTTGCAGTCCAGGATTGTTTCATATGTTGACCTTGAAAGAGAGAGGTACTACAGCCACCCTTATGGGACTTGGAAGCTCAGCAGAAGTAGCTTCTGCTCTGAGGATGCTGCTCCATAGCCTTCACTGCATTTTATCATCTATTTAACCAAAACAATGCTTGGGAATTGTGTTCCTTGTCCTGTCGGCTGGATAGCTGTATTATGTCCTGGGGAGTGTACAGGGATGTGTTTGCAGCTTTTGTCCCCTCTTTCCCATTGCAAGTTGTACTCAGAACAGATCGCTCTAGGATTACATCTCTTTTCCTTCTCATTGCCTGTACCTGCTTTGAGCTTGTTGTCTTGTGCATGGGACATGGGCCTACGCATCAGTGCTTTCTCAAAGCCAGGAGCTGACCAGTGATGATCTGCAAGGTGTGGTCATGCATCATAACGAACTCTCACACATTTGGGGTATTCTTAGGATACATTTATAAATAATTCAGCAGTAGTACTTTATATTTGTATGTGTGTAACAGTTTACAAAGCTCTTTGACATGTGATCTCATTCAGTCTTTACAAATAAAGAACAGCTCAGCTTGACACGTGGCAGAGCTGGGGTTCAAACCCAGATTGCTCTGGTTCAAGTCCTTTGTTCATGAAACTAGCCAGGTAGGAAAAAAAAAAAAAAAAAAGACTCTCAACATACAAAAGAGCAATCTTGAATCCAGAGGGCCCTCCTATTACTCTTGATTTTGTCTTTAGGATGTGGGTGTTTTTTTTTTTAATAATCTTGTTTTTTATTTTATTTTATTTATTTATTTATTTTTTTCCTTTTTGTCATTTTTTTTTCGTGACCGGCAACGGATCGCAACCCTCAGTGTCACGCCCGTACCGGACCGGGACCGGCCACGGGATCGCAACCCTCGGTGCTGCTCCCGCCCCTCACTCAGCCAGTGAGCGGGAACCGGTCTGTACGTGGGATCCGAACCCTCGGTGGGAGCGCCACCGCGCTTCCCAAGCGGCGCACTACAGCAGTGCGCCACCGGGCCAGCCCAATAATCTTGTTTTTTAGAGCAGTTTTAGGTTCACAGCAAAACAGAAGTACAGAGTTTCCATATACCCTCTGTCTCCCCACATATGCACAGCCTCCACCACTGTCGATGTTCCTCACCAGAGTGGGACATTTGTTGCAACTGACCAACCTACATTAACACATCGTTGTCACCCCAAGTCCATAGTTTACATCAGGGTTCAGTCTTGGTGGTATAAATTCTGAGTTTGGACAAATGTGTAATGATATGTTTTCATCATTATAGTATCCTACAGAATAGTTTCACTGCCCTAAAAATCCTCTGTGCTCCACCTATTCACCCCTTCCTCTCTCTAACCCCTGGCAACCACTGGTCTGTCTCTCTAGTTTTGCCTTTTCTAGAATGTTCTATAGTTAGAATCACACAGTATGTAGCCTTTTCAGATTGACTTCACTTAGCAATATGCATTTTTCTTCATGTCTTTTCACGGCTTGATATTCTTTTCAGTGTTCAATAATCTTCCATTGCCTCTATGTAGTTTATTTACCTACTGAAAGACATGTTGGTTACTTCCAAGTTTCAGCAATTATGAATAAGTCTGCTGTAAACATCCTTGTGCAGGTTTTCATGTGGACGTAGGCATTTAATTCATTTGGGTAAATACCAAGGAGTTCAATTGCTGGATTATATGGTAAGTATATGTCTGGTTTTGTAAGAGAACTGTCTTTCCAAAGTGGCTGAACCATTTTACATTCCCACCAGCAAATGAATGAGAGTTCTGTTGCTTCACATCCTTGCCAGCATTTGGTGGTGTCAGTGATCTGAATTTTGGCTATTCTAATAAGTATGTAGTGGTACCTCATTATTGTGTTAACCTGCGACTCCCTAAAGACATGTTGAGTATCTTTTCATATGCTTATTTGTTGTCTGTCCTCATACACCTTCTTTGGTGAGGTGTCTGTTCAGGTCTTTCACCCATTTTTTAATTAGGTTGTTTCTGATTATTGAATCTTAAGTGTTCTTTGTGTATTTTTTATAACAGTCTTTTGTTAGAGGTGTCTTTTATAAATAGTTTACCCCAGTCTGTGGTTTGTCTTCTCATTCTCAACGTCTTTTGCAGAGCATGTTTTTCTTTTAATAAAATCCAACTTAGAATCAATTATATTGAAAATCAATTTTTAAAAGGCATTACCAACCTAAAGGTCATCTAGATTTTCTCCTATATTATATCCCTGGAGTTACAGTTTTGCATTTTACTTTTAGGTCTGTGGTCCATTTTGAGTTAATTTTTATGAAGAATGTTAAGGTCTGTCTAGATTTTTTAAATGTGGATGTTTGGTTGTCTAGCACCGTCTGTTGAAAAAGACTGTCCTTTCTCCACTGGATTGCATTTGCTCCTTTGTCAAAGATGAGTTGACTATATATGTGTGGATCTATTTCTGGGCTCCCTTTTCTGTTCCAGTGATTGATTTGTTGAGATTGCATTGAATTCATAGAAATTGGAAAGACTTGACACTGACAATAATGAGAGGCTATTGTTTTATGATCACATCAATCCAGCTAGTTTATTCACAGAATGATATTGGAATTACAAGATACTCATAATCCCTGAGCATTTTTGTTCTTAAATGGATAATCAGACTTTATCCAGGTCAATGGCTGGATAGCCAGAATAGATAATGACAACCTCTCTTCCAGCCATTCAAGTAAAATGATCTGAACAGGGTTAGTTTGTTTTAATTTTTGAAGAGGTGATTTTTTTTTTCCTTTCCTGTCTTCAGGCTAAGGAAAGAGCATTATTGGTTCATTATCATGTTCTGAATTCCTTTTTCCCTCATAGGCTCTGTTGGGCATCATTGATGACAGTCAGTCAGATACTGTCTTAGCCCTGGAAGGGTCCACAGAGGGCAAATAATGGCTGTACGACCTGCAATAAAAGTTTTCCACCTTCACTGGGTCCCTCAACTAGGATGCAGCAATGGGAGCACTAGCTCCTACCTGCCCCTCCCCACACAGGTTCTACTTGGTGCACTAATAAACCATTCATTCCAAGGGCACTCAAGCTGTCCTTCTACACCACCATCCTGGGGTTTTTTTGTTTGTTTGTTTAAACATAGCTTTACTCTTTAAAAATCACTTTCTAGCTTGAGGTGGTCACCCAGCAGTTCACTCTGGCAGGCTGTAAACTGACCTGACCTTCCCTGCCCCTCCCTACTCTCCCTGTCCCTCCCTACTCTCCCTGTCTCTTCTATCAAAGATACCTTCCTGAGCACTTAGTTCAGCTCACATGACCTAGGCACCCTGTTTTGTATATTTCCAGGTGCTTGTCTTGGAAGTCCTGGAAAGAAGGGGTTATGACTCATATTTGTTCCTAAATAGTACTAGCCATGCCTGCTCTGTGGCTCACCCCAACCCTATAACTGTGGTTATGGGAACAACTGTAAAAAAATCAGTTTTCAGAGTTTTCAAGAATGAGACCATTTTTCTTGTCCTACCCTAGTGACAGTTACTCTTCAAATGCTCAACTTACAGTAGATAAACTTGGGAAATATTTGGTTGAAATAAAACATAAAACAGGTTTCTTTATAACTTTTCAGAGCCTTTCATATACTTTTTCCAAATGTAATTGACCAAGACAGTTTTCTTTTAAGACATCAGAATTAACATCCCCCAGCCGCCGAACCATTTCAGAAATGCAGTTCTAGGCCATAGACCTGATACTGACAATATTAATAAAGATACAGAAATTATAAAATGTAACCACATAAACATTCTGGAGCTGAAATGTAAGATACACGAGAGGTTCAATAGCAGATTTGAGTGGGCAGAAGAATCTGCAAATTTGAAAATAGAACAATTGGAAAAATCCAGTCTGAGAAGAAAGAAAAAAGAACGAAGAAAAGCCAACAAAGCCTAAGGGACTTGTGGAAGACCATCAAGCTTATTATGGCAGTCCCAGAAGAAGCAAGAGGGACAGAAGTAATGTTAATAAGTAATGGCTGAAGACCTCCTAAATCTGAAAGACATGAATCCAACATCCAAGCAGCTCACTGAATTTCAAACAAACTCAAAAGGATCCACTGTTGGAAGAAAAAGACTAAGATAATCTTTAAAGCAGCAAGAGACATGGCTTGTCATGTACAAGTGATTCTTAATAAAACACAACTTTTCATCAGAATCCATCAAGGCCAAAAGGCAATAGGATAACATATTTAAGGTGCTCAAAGAAGAAAACTTGATGAGGAATTCTATATCCAGCAAAACCATCCCTCAAGAATAAAGGAGAAATTAAGATATTTCTTGAAAAACAAAGGTAAGGGAGTTCATTACTAGAAAACCTGCCCTACAATAAATGCTAAAGTGAGTCCTAAAGGCTGAAATGAAATGACACTAAGGCAGTAATTTAAAAGCCATACAAAATAAAGAACACAGTAAGGGTAATTACATAGGTAAATATAATAGCCAGTATTGTATTTTTGGTTTATAACTCATCTTTTTTTCCTATATGATTTAAAGGCAAATTGTCTCATATTAATATAGCCATAACTTTGTATTAGTTTGCATGGTATGACTTTTTCTACACTTTTACTTTTAACCCATGGTCACACTATCTCTTGTAATCAGCATCTATTCAAGTCTTTTATTTAATCCAGTCAGACAATCTGTATCTTATAATTGGAGTATTTAGAAAAGTCCTGTGTTTTTTGTTCCTACTTTGTGCTTCTTTATTTTCAAAATGTCATTTCCTCGTTCAACTCCAAAGGCTTTTCCCACTTGGGAGTTATTTTTTTATTGTAGTAAAATATACATAAAATAAAATTTACCATTTAAACCATTTTCAGTGTACAATTTAGTGGTATTAAGTACATTAACAATGCTCTGCAACCATCATGACTATCCATTTCCAGAACTTTTTCACATACAATACAGAAACTCTGTACCCATGAAAT